TATTTTGGCCAAGTCACATGGTAGTAGATTTTTCCATCTTTTGCTCTCTTAGTTTCTCTATGAACATTTTCGTTGAAATGTAGGCTAGCCAGTATATGTCTACAAATATATGACATGAATAACCTCACATTAAACTACATTTTTCAATCTAATAATACTTGTGCAAAACATCTATTATTATAAGTCAATGTTCAATGAAATTTGTTCACATTGCAATAGAATTTCAAGTAAGAAAGCATATATACTAAACATGGGGACAATACTTATGGTGCTTACTACTCTATCATTTATATACCTGCAGTATGTGCCCAACCATGAAAAGCATAGCATCTTTGGGTGCCAGTGATTCAATGTTGCGTGAAAGCATTCTAAGCAGCTTGTCTGTGCTTCTGAGGAAAGCTGTTTGATATCAGATAGAATTCTTTTGTTCATCAGAATAGAGTTCAACTTTTCATAGGTTTTTGTTCCTAAAAAAATGAATTTGATATTAAAAATTAGATGGTTCATATTAACATTTTCAAAACAAAATATAATCAATCCTTGAAGAGAAGYATTATTTTGTACGTAMCAATCTTGATCMATTTTCTTCGTGGCAGGTTGTTTTCATGTGCACATTTGGGAAATAGTTTGTCAGGATGATGATCATGCTTGTTCGACACATGCTCCATGAATGACTTCCATTTGGCAAGAATCATGGCGTGAAAGCCTTGTTTAGTACTAGTTGCACACCAATACAGGTGACGCCKAATAGCCTTCATCCACTCTTTGATAAGACCACAGCCTTTTTCTTTGCTTGCTTTAAGTAGTTTCTTTGTTATGGACTTGCAAACATGCCAGATATCATAAAAGTGATTAGTACTCGGATGTTTCTCTCTTAACCATTTTGCAATACCACGGTGTCTGTCTGAGATGAATACTAAGATCTTCACACCAGCAGCAAGCAAAAAATCAAAACATCGTTTAGCCCCCTCAAGCTCCATGGCCTGACTGCTCCCAGCTTCATTAGCCTACCACATTGAAACAAAGTGTCATATTATAGATGTCATATTATAGAGTAAAAACAATAAAACTGTGCAACATAAATACCACTAAATACTGCTAAGTTATGCTAATTCTATTATTTTGTAGTAAATAGTGGAAAGTATTGCACACATTTAATGTTTGCACTCTATAATATTAAGTATAATATAGTAAATTTTTGATAATTAGATTACCTGCAATAATTCAAAATGCACTACTTTCATGAGGGATGGTGAGAACATTGTGTAAGCTCCRTACTTAGCGCTGTGACCCATAGAATCAAATCTGCCGTCACCACCCCATACAGTATCACTTGGCTTCAGGCTGCTAAGAAGTCTAGAACGGTATACYTCCCAGTAGTGTAGTATCGAGGGGAAGATGAGATTCTTTTGATGGACGAAGTAGGTGCGAATTGAAATTGCACAAAGTCCCATATGGCGACAAAAAAGAAGAATCTTGCTTATTGATGCTCCTGCCATAAGTGATGCAAAGCTTAACAGCACATTACCAGCTGGGYATTTTCCAAGGACAAGTGGTTGACTTTGCCATGTGTATCCAGAACAGTGACTGCATGTTTGGATTAYTTTCACCATTGTTCCATTCTTTTTGACGACTGGTTTAGGACTTTCAGTTTTGCAGTTAAAGCAAAACAGTGAGAAGATCAATAGCAGCTTAGAATAGAAGACAATGAAGGCTGGTTCCTGATAAGATGGTATACCAGGCTTYACACTAAATTTAAATAAAAATAATTAAAAAAATATTTCACAATAATAGCCATTTATTTATAAAAGCTGAGATCACTTATAACAATATAGAAAGCAATATTGTCAGTATTGTTTACATTTTTTTACCTTATGTTACTTTCAACTTCTGGTATGTTATCATTTGCATCCTCGAATTCATTAGCTTGCCAATCAGGATCAATATTTGTATCGTTGTCTGACTCTGTCTCTGTTGAAACTGTAGAGTCTGTATATACATGTTCTTGTCGTTTGTTATCGATATCTGGTATCTTATCTGAATCTTCTGTTTCATCCTACAAGGAAACAAAAAAGGCCTATAAGAACATTTTGCTCAGTTCCAGCATAGTTAACATAATTATTAGTTATTATTAATATTAATAGTCTAATATTAACTATGTTTCAAGAAAGGCCTAATTACCAGGGATTCGTAATGGTCGCTCAGTTGACGAACTCTTCCTCTCAAATAGCTGTTAGTTTTCTGAAGTTTTCTTATGGTATCTGACTTCCTTTGACAACTTTCACAATTAGGTTTTATAGTGCTTTCGCCAGGAGAAAYATCAAGTGGTTGATTATGATTATCCTGCTCATCATGTTCTTCAGTTTCACACAAGATAGAAGGTTCACTATTAGGTCTTTGATCATCAATGGCTTTTTTAATTATCTACAGTATCAACAAGTAAATATTAATTTCTCTACAATGTACAATTTACTTTTTAGTGTTTATACAGTTGCACACGTGTAAGCTTACCTTTCTCTTATCGCGACTAGATAGCTCCTTTTTTGAAGCTTGGGTTATGGCAGTATCAATTGTAGGAACTGATCCCTTCTCTAATCTTCTAGATGAAGAAATATCCTTGACATCCATTGCTGAGTCCAAAAGGTCAAGTCTTCTTGAGAAGCAAGATTGAGAAAAATGGACTGAACATATCACMGAGGTTTTCGAAGGCCTAAAAGCCGGTCTGTGCTTTTGCACAAATTTTGTCCATTTTCGGCGGATAATTTCGTCCTTTGGGAATGTGTRCATAGAGATACCAGGAGACAAACTATTATTGGTACAGCTAACATTTCCTGGACCTCCAGCGACACAAAATTTACCACATATTCGYGCTTGCTTTGTATGACTTGACGCCATTTTGAATCTGACAACACAACCAATGACGTCACAAGTCTCAGTCTGGCCGCGCGAAAACTGTCTCGAAATTTTCACTCAACAAGCGGTTTTTAATGGMGGATTAAAATTACTTTCCGTGAACCGATTCTTTTCAAATTTTCGAATTCGATTCTATATCTCAAAAAAAATTTCATTATGATTTTATATTATACTGTGAACKGACGCTGCATAGGACCTTTAAGATCACGGGTAAATGATAAATGTATACTTTTTAAGACTTAGCAGCCGCCATGGTGCACATAATGTCGCATGCAGTACCAGCTTATGGCTCGCATTTGATGGGCTGTATCGTTTACCACTCTTTTTAATTCGTTAAAATTTGACAAGAATATCGAAATATGTTTTTTTTTTTGAAGCTATTGATCTCGAAACGCTTACCAAGAATTGTTATATATACAATTGAATTTGCGTGTTTTGAACGATTTTGACCATGTGCTTCTCACAATATCAACAACGCAAGAAAACAACGCGTTAAGTCATTCGTATTATAAAACGGCGATCCGAGAACATGCCATAACGATCGTTACTGTATATCAACAGTCTTAGTTTTGATTGATAAATATGTTTGTTCACAACAAACTGGATTGTGATAAAAGTACGCACTAGAATATAAAACTAAATGTGAACTACAAAAAAAGAAGGGGTTTCAAAAAATTATCGTACTACCTTTACCTTTAGTGGATACGAACACTTGAAGCGATATTCTGCCTTAATGTCAGACATGTTATGCCGAAGACATGTGGCAGAAAAGTCTTTTTATGATAAGTTCATTAAATTTGGGGGTTCCCGGATGGGGATTCCCCATCTTATAAAAAGTGCAACGTAAGCAAGTATTATATATTTTCACTTTATACTTGTTACTTACTTACATTTTGTTAATTCTTTTTTGCCTTAGCCATGTTCTTTATAGCACTAACTATCCGCTTATGTTTTGAAGAGTAAAYTAAGTCGAAAAACTTCACTAGTTCATTTGCTAAATTACGAGTCAGGGACTATCACAGTTTTTAAGTTCTGATCGTGATTACGATCATTCCTCCGAATCAATTATTCCCCTCGGGGGATTTTGAGCAGGTCAATAAACGATACGCGACATTCTGTTTGAAGGGAAATTCATACCGTCAGTGTAGGTCTTTAAAATGTCAAAATACCACTTATGCAAAACGTATACTTGTGACTGTATTTTTTGTGTGTATTTTTATGTGTTTGCTGTTTGTTTAGAATATGTTACTTGGTTTTGACCGATTAGTATGTTTATACTAAAACAATTAGACCTCTCGGCCTCGTGGACTACGAGCTAATAGCCCATTCGGCCTCGCGGACTCGGCCTCATGGGCTATTAGCTCGTAGTCCACTCGACCTCGAGGTCTAATTGTTAATTATTCTTTCAATGTATTTATTTTTCTTATTTTACGTTAAAATGGTTATTTTGTTTTTAAAGGTTGTCCTTAAATGACACTTTAATAGGTAGTTGTTAAGGGTGGGTTTCCTGTGGTCATAAATCTCGAAGCAGCAATAATCCAGTTTCGAATTCTCCAATGCTCTGTGTTTAATAGCCTCATTTGTGCGCAAAATATTCCTAATTGTGAGAATAAAAGTGTGAGATTTCAAATCAATTTTATTGTTTTTCTTTACAAATTTCATGCGTTTTCTCGGGCTATCAATAAAACAAAAGAGTATGTTACTTGGTTTTGAGGCTATCACTGGGCAAACAAGAACTCGAAATTGGAGTATTCTGTCTGTAACGTGCCCATAAAAAAGGATTGCTTCGTGTTGAATTTTATATTTTACAAACAAAATCACGTCGTGTGATTCAAAACCTGTTCTCGTCTTCTCTCAACAACCAGTGGAAGGGGGAAATGNTACGCAGGCTACTATTGAATATTTGATGAGGGAATTTTCCCTGTTCTTTCAACCATGTCTCCATTGAATATAACTATCTTTGAACTGAATTTAAAAGTACAAATAATAAATTGTATCATTCTGTACCTTTTTATCCTCAGCATGAAAAAAAGACTCGTATCATATATCTTATTTTTGCCTTTTTCTTTGTGAATCTATATTTTGCTGATTGGATATTCATAATCATGCKCTTGTTATGTAAACATTGAGATGGAAGCATTGAGAAGGGGAATTCCCCTATTAAAATTGATTTGCCATTGATTCTGTAAWGCGTGTTTTTATCATTCCACGWAGTCAAAACTTGTGGWTTCTGGGAATTAAATCTTCATTTTATTGCAGAGGTTAACGATTCATCTATACCAGTTAAATGTATCCTAATATTAAATAGCGAACCGAGAAAATGCAATAATTATAATGATGGTTATGTCGCTCTCTTGCAGCTTTGATTGGTAAATATATATGTTTGCTTATTACAAACTATGTGACGACAAGTAGACACTAGACTRCATAAAAATAACATACAAAAATCAAATATGGAGGACAAATAAAACTTCTTAGTATTATAAAAGCTCTCGTATTTGTTACCTTTATAAAGATGCTTTAAAACTTGTTCTCTCTTTAGAATGTTAATTGAATGCTGTATACTGTAGGTACGTCCGGCAGAGTGCCTTTATATATCAATTCTCGGGCATTCTGGTGAATCCCCTTATCTCATTGAAAAAAAAGTGCAGTGCAGGCTTTATTCATTCTCGCTGTCGAGTCTTTCTGGATGTTATGCACTATTTTATTAATTTTACGTTTATTGTTGTCGTTTGTTTCGAGATAATTATCTGCAATTATCGTATCTATTAGATAGAAGTAAATAACTTACATAGAGCCTAGAAATTGCACTTTCAGTTTCAGACTATAGAAACGCGCCATTCTAAACTCCAAGTTCAATMAAGGTCATGGGGACTTTAGGCAGGCAAAAAAAAGGCAAAAGCACCGGCGTCTCTTCAAAACGTAAGTGCATACTGTACGTCACTGTACGTCATGTCAAAATGACATGCATACCACAACATATCAAAGAAAATAATTAACCTTTTTCTATGTATTTGAAATATTTGACAATATTATATTAAAAGAGGCAACCAAGAAAAAATCGCACAGAATGATACAATTTATTATTTGCACTTTTAAATTCAGTTCAAAGATTCTTCGTTTGCACGTACGTCATGGAAAAATAAATTTTCCGTAAAATTAGTCATAAACAAAATTCAAGTAATCCATGTGAAAGAGCGAGTAAAACTCTGTATCCCTGAGAATTTTTTTCGCCGAAACGAGTTTTATTTGCCAAGATATAAGCAATTTTATACGCTTGTGACTTTTTTAGAAGGAAATGTATGGCGATGTCATGTTTATACGCTTCCACGGAACCAACATTTTTAGAGAGTTTTAAAATCAAAGATAAAATTTCGGTACTTTCACATAAGAGACGTATTAAAATTCTGTAATCATGTGAAATTTTGAGTCTAACTGAGCTTTTGTTGCAAGTTTATAAGCAATTTTATATGCCGATCTTTACAAAGAAATGTATGGCGGCACCGTACTCTGCCGTACTGGTGGACCTCTGAAATCCACCAGAAATGGCGGCTAACTGTTATGAACATAATTTCGGGTACAAAGTAGCAAATATAACTTATTTTCACTACATTTAGCAATTCTAAATCTGTATTAAAACAAAAATCTACGATTTAGAAGAATTTTAGATGATTTCCACTGCTTTTCATGCGCGTGACCTGGCGTTGTGTGACATAACTTTGGCTACCAAATAAAACACGTTGTGCATCAAATTATTCGCATATAAGTTCAAAAATTATCTCGAAACATAGTTTTCTAAAGCTGTATTTAAAAGTAAAATCGATTTTATGGGAAATCAAGTTTAAATTAATTTTTGTTGGATCTATGACGTAACGTGCAAACGAAGAATAGTTCTCTTCAATGGAGACATGGTTGAAAGAGCAGGGAAAATTCCCTCATCAAATATTCAATAGGGACAAAAATGTTTCTTGCAGTGGCTAATTTGATGGATCTTTGAAATAATTCAGCAACATATTACTTGCTTTCAAAATAGGTATGTGGGATAGAACAATCAGCTTCTGGACGGACTTCATGTGTGAAAAAAGTTCGCCAAGTAAACTTGTAAACTATACGTGATCGTATTCCTTTGGCTCTTTAGAAGTGTTGTGTTATTTTTAAAAATTTAGTATAATTCTATATACCATACAATTGCAATATAACTGGTTTTACATTCATATGTTGCAAAATATGGTGACCTTGAATACTTGTCATTCATAACAAATAACAATTCATAGTTGTAGTGTTTAGTTATTGATTCTATAAAGGCATAAATTTAAATTAAGTTAATCATTAATCTGAGCTCCAAATTAAGCTAAACATACTTCTTAACAATATCCTCTAAAATTGAAGAAGAAATATCACAATGCCTCACAATTTGTTGTTATTGAGCGAAATTAACATGCCTGTTATTAATTTCTAGAATTCAATTATGAATTTTTAACTTTTTTGGTTTTCTTCTTCATAGCTTAACTTCCTCCGCGCAGAAGAGGAAGAGGCTACTGGTGACCTTGCTTTACGCATTTCTAAGCAAGTGAATTCTCCACGGGAATCTTTAATGTACTCTTGTACCTTGTTGTAAGATAAAATCCCCCCTTTACTTTTCTTAAGATCCTCTCCTACGACTATCGTTTTTACGCCACTCAGTTTAACCAAAGGTGCACATTCATCACAAGGGCATTTTGTGACAAACAGGATTCCATCTGTCAAGTCCTTTTCATTTCTCCGCATCAAAGCATTTTGCTCTGCATGTAATACATATGGATACTTCTTTTCTCGCGTGTCGCTGTCATCATCCGAGGCCCGTGGAAATTCTCCATACAAGGCTTTCGCTGGAAATCCATTCCATCCAATACCCACGATTTCCTTTCCCTTCATTAGAACTGCTCCAACTCCTGCTTTGGGGTCATCTGTTTGCCTAGCCAACATCTTGGCAAACGTTATCATGTGCTTAGCTACTGGCCCGCCGGGAAACTCGGTCATTTCTGCGTCAGTCAAAGGTTCAACTTCGACCTTGTAGAATTTCATCTCTGCCTTATCGAGGGGTGCTTTGATAGAAGCGATCCATTTCATGAGTGACATAAAATCGCTTTCAACTTGTTCTTTCATCTTGTCGTCAAGAGAGTTAATTAAAATACTTTGATGCCACCATTCGTCAAAGAGTTGTTCTTGCAAGGTTTTGACATCGTCTGGTGTAGTGTTAGCCGGACGCTTCATTTCCTCTTTAGTTAATACTTTCTTATCAACACACGGAACGAACATAGATTGGGCAACAGGGCTGACTTTGAAAATACGATCAACCTTTTCAAGATCGTCTGGTTTATGTGATTCTGGCTCAATCGGTAAATAGAAGATTCTTGAAACTCTTGCTTGTACAAGAAGTTTCGCACAAACAGAACACGGTTTTCGAGAAACGAACACGTGGCAGCCTTCAGCTTTATCACAGTGTTTAACGATGACTCTAGCAATTCCATGGACGTCGTCACGACTACAGTCAACGCTTAGAACGTGGTCGTTAGGTTGAACAAATACAACGCCTACTTTGTTAAATTCAGTCCCCAAAGTCGATGTTGAAGACGATGGCGAAGACAGTTGCTTCGATATGTTCTCTTTAAGCTTGTTTACCGGAAATTTTTCCATCCACAGAGCTAACACCATGTAAAGATTATCTTTTGTAAGCCTTGTCTCGCGCTTTTCAAACGAAGTCGATGGAGTTGAATACATCTTGATTTTTGTGTGACTTTCGAACGATTATTCACTCAAATTCGATGGTAAATAATCAAGTGCTTCTAGATCCGTCTGTGATGTGTGAGCACATGCTGTGGTCAGCTGATGTGCGGCCTCGCCGCGAAGAGCGCAATGGATGTTTTATGTAAGTGACGACCCATTATAATATTGAT